AGCAAGCCTGTAAAAAGCATAACTAACGGAATCGTCTGTAAGGTGCATGACCGGCAAAATACAAAGGATTTAATCGGCAATGATCAAACTGTTTGCCATTGTGCTAATTTTGGACTATTAGCGACGGCCCACAGTGATCACAAGCCACGCCTTCTTGTTGATTACATTGGCGGTTAATAGGGTGATCAAGGAAGAGTCTAATTCATGGAAACTTCCCGTTGTACGTTTTAAAAGTCCAGTTGGCATACATGTTTCAATGGTAATTCATCATCAAGCCCATGCATCTACATAGAAAGTAAAAGCATGAGAATAGACAGGGTTTTTAAAGTATCTCACGGGTTAGAAACACTCATCGTTCCCACGCCGCCCGTAGGTAGCATTTGGCGTATTCTGGTCACTGGGAATCGGGGACGGGTGAGTTTGGGTGTGAGCGATGTTTATAGGTCACGAACGCGGAGTGCACATCCCGTCCTTAGGGGATTAGGGCGGCGTGCGATCAGCACCTGGAAAGGGCTTTTGCGTAAGCCAATGTCTTTGGACAGTGTAGCTATGCATTCCCTGGCCATGAAGACTCTGTCTCGGCTGTAGACTAGACCGGTTTGTGTAAACCTTAAGAGGAGTTTGCTGGTGTCTTTTCAAAACCTTAACGCTTTCTCTGACATTGAGTCGGTGAGTTCTGCCGACTAGAAGTGAACAAATGGAATTTAAACCTATCACTCCTTATCACAAATTAGTTAACCAGATAATGTATCACGGAAGTTGTTTGTCAGCCACATCGTTTAGCGAATGAATTAATGAGACAAGTCGCGTGCCAGGTGTTTGCATGGGTAAGGGAGAAGGCTTGTCGAGCAACAGAAAAATAACTTTATTTTGCCGAGCTTCTCTTTTCGAAGACAAAATTTTTTACAGACACGTGATGAACTCTCGAGCCAAAACAGCATCAGACCGACTGACTAAAATTCTTAGAGAATACCGGCGGAAGAATATGATCGCGGAGAATGAGTGGTGCCAGACGAAAGTAACGGATACCCCTCTGGCTCGATTCTATGGTCTGCAAAAAATTCACAAACCAAGTGTCCCACCACGGCCAATCTTTGTGCTTAAAGGCAGCCTTACCTATACCTTGGCAGAATAAATGGACACAAGCCTAAATTATCCAAGGCAAGTCGACTATCTCAGTTTGATCAGTCTCTGGGGCCCTCGCAGACGTTTGAGGCCGACAATTAAATCGGAAGAAATCATAGTCTGTTTCGATGTGCCTTCGATAACAGCATCCGTCCCACCAAATCTGACACACAAAGTCTTGCGCAATAAACTTGATGAGGCATATGATGTAGCTCGGAATCCGCTAAAAGTTGAACACCGCAGTAGATTATTCGAATTTTGCCAAAACATACTTTACCTTTACTGATGAAATATATAAATTGATCAAATAAACTCTAGTGGACTCCCCGATCTCCAGTGTAGTGACAGAACTGGCCCTGCATTAGCTAGAAAACATACTTTCATTCAGCATGAACATCGTCGTTATGTCGAAGACACGTTTTTTTCTACCGTCAAGAAGACAATGCTGCAAAAGTTCCTTAACTTAGTCAATTGAATCTTTTTTGACATAAAATTCACAAGGGAAAAAAATAGCAGCAGCTGCCTTTGCTTGATGTCCTTGCCAAGAGGAAGCTCAACGGCGAAGTTGAGACGACGGTTTACGCGAGGGCAACGAATAAAACACAACTTTTCAGTTTTCACAGCAACTATGCGGTTGCTCACAAACGAACCTGTGCGAGAACGCTCTTCAAACGGATTCGGACTCACTGAAGCAAGCCGGAGGAAAAGGAGGAAGATCGGTTTAACCAAAGAACAATGTGGGCTATTGTATCGCATTCCATGCCTAAGCTGTCTTTGTAATTACATAGGTCATATTGAATACATGCTTGGATCGCGCGTACATTAACATAGGCTGGCTGCATGATGGAGTAACGAATTATTGCAAATTGCAGTTCGCACCTGTGAAAGAGTCCATGTGTATAACTTCTTAGCTGTCAAGATATTTATCCTCGTCGGAAACAAGACGAGCCGAGAAGTGATTGAAATTTGGTCCGCGGATGGGAGCTCAATCAATAGATATACCGAAATGGCGCCAGCTTGCAGATTCCTGTGCAGTCGTCTAAAGACTTGCGTCACTGGAGACTGGTTGATACATACCCCCTAATATTAATCGCCGTTGTTCGTTACTGCTCTTGCTTCTGGCGACCTGATGACCTCCGAGGTCACTGACAGTTGAATAGCGTATACCCGCATAATTGTCCC